AGTACAAACTTAAAGGGACACTCCAGGCACCCAGACCAATATTGCCCATTGGAGTGGTCTGGGTGCCAACTCCCACTAACCTTAACCCTGCAACTGTAATTATTGCAGTTTTTAATAAACTGCAATAATTACATTGCAGGGTTAACTCCACTAGTAGATAGCCACTAGAGGGCACTTCCTGGTTTCTAGCACAGGAAACCTGTGCTAGAGCGTCGCTGGACGTCCTCACGCTGTGTGAGGACCTCCAGCGTCACTCATTTCCCCATGGGAAAGCATTGAAATGCATTTTCAATGCTTTCCTATGAGGAGCGCTAATGAGCATGCGCGGCCAGTGGATGGGATCAGTCTTGCCCACCGGCCAACGCAATGCAGAGGAGCGGCGGCGGAGGAGGAAGCAGCGACAAGGGACATCGTCGCTGCCTCGGGTAAGTCACTGAAGGGGTTTTTACCCCTTCAGCAACCGGGGATTGGGGGTGGGAGGGAGAGGGGGGACCTGCAGTGCCAGGAAAACGGATTGTTTTCCTGGCATTGTAGTTTCCCTTTAACCTGTGATTAGCCCCACTCAGATATCAAATGAGGTCATTACAGAGAGAACCTATACCGGTGCAACTGAAGAAAGATATACAGCTGTTAAGAAACACAACTTCCATGATGCTTTGCCAATCTTAAAGGAACACTACAGCATTAGAAATATCAATAGAATTCCTAACGCTACCGTCTCCCACTAACTACTCCAGCCCACCCATGCCTTAAGTCAAAAAAACATATTTACTTACCTTTTAGCCCTTGCTCTAACTCGCCTGCTGAAATTTTCGAGATTGATCATCAAGACACACACACACAGACACAGAAATAAAATAAACAAAAAGCCACCAGACATCTTTAGGTAAGATATTTTATTCCACATAAAGTGCACCTGGCCACGTTTCCACCCTTGAGGGTCTTTCTCAAACCTTGGCACTCAATGCAGGCATGAAGAGGAGGTAGATCTGAACTACCTATTGGCCTCTGCACTCTATTATTTGCATTGGAGAAATAATCCTTTATTATTTGTCTTATGGTATTGCCTTTAAGGCAAGGGGGACTCATAACACCACGGCTCTGGGTCAAAATAGAAACATTCTCCAGCTCTTTAGTAAATCTTTGTCAATGAGTCACAGTGACTGGGCAATAGGGCACCACAAAGATACAAATTGTCCACCCTTGGAATGTAGATTACAAGATCATTCAGACAGGGCCCTCTGCATCTACTGTTCCTATATGTCAAATGGGTTATGTTAGAATGTATTATTTGTCTTGTTTAGTAGTGATGTCGCGAACCCGAAATTTTCGGTTCGCGAACGGCGAACGCGAACTTCCGCAAATGTTCGCGAACCGGCGAACCGCCCGAAACGCCATTGACTTCAATGGGGAGGCGAATTTTAAAACACACAGGGACTCTTTCTGGCCACAATAGGGATGGAAAAGTTGTTTCAAGGGGACTAACACCTGGACTGTGGCATGCCGGAGGGGGATCCATGGCAAAACTCCCATGGAAAATTACACAGTTGATACAGAGTCTGGTTTTAATCCATAAAGGGCAGAAATCACCTAACATTCCTAAATCACAATCAATATGGATTGACACCTGACATATGACATATTGACACCTTGACATATGGATTGACACCTGTCCTCAGAGCCCCTGATGCACACGGACACAGAGCAGAATAGAGACTGGTCCCCCTACATAGGGTCACTTGGCAGATATGGATTGACACCTGTCCTAAGGATCCCTGATACACACTGACACAGAGCAGAATAGGGACTGTTCCCCTACATCGGGTCACTTGGCAGATATGGATTGACACCTGTCCTAAGGTTCCCTGATACACACTGACACAGAGCAGAATAGGGACTGGTCCCCCTACATCGGGTCACTTGGCAGATATGGATTGACACCTTGTTACAAACTGCTATTTGTAACGGGCCCTTTAAATGGCAAATTGCCCTGCTTCCCTGGGTTGTGGAGAAGCCTACTTGCCAGCCTCCTCCCGCATGACTATGGCCCCTGGGAGATTGTGAAAATGTATGCACTTTTATTTGGTGTGTATGGCCCTTTAAGACTGTCGGTGGGCATATTGGGGCTTATGGACTCTTTATGTGACTGGTGCTGGCCCTTTAAACACCTTTTTTGGGACATCAGGAAGATTGGGACACTGCCCCTTTAAGGCCGTGTCCCCAGACTTGTTGGGGACACGGCCCCTTTAAGACGGTGTCCCCTGTGTCCCCAGACCTGGTGCAAACCCTTTGTGCCTGCCTTGCTATTTCCCACTTGGTTCAGTAAATGGGAAATTATTTCAGCTGCAGAGACTAAGTCCCATTCGGCGATGGGACTTAGTCTTTTTTTCAGCCGTTTTTTTCAGCCTTATTTCAGCTGCAGAGACTAAGTCCCATTCGGCGATGGGACTTAGTCTTTTTTTCAGCCGTTTTTTTCAGCCTTATTTCAGCTGCAGAGACTAAGTCCCATTCGCGATGGGACTTAGTCGTTTTTTCAGCCTGAAATAGACCGACCTCACAGCCCAAATCTATGGAACTGTTTTGGGCAGGAAAATGTGCTTGCAGTCGGTCATAAAGGGACCTCCAGCTAACTTTTTTTTTTTTTTTCAAATGTCTGTTTTTTATTGTTTTGATACAACATAACAGTAAAACGGGAGTATGGGTACAGAAAGACGAAAAGGGTGGGAGAAATCATAATAGTAGGGGGGGGGGTACGGTTCACAATGATGCATATTCATTTACATAGACATAGCACATATACAGAGCGCATACATTCCATACGTTGAGGTTGTAAGACAACGTTGAGGTTATAGACTTTGTACGCGGTCGAGTTTGTAATAACCTTCATAGGGCTCTGCGTACAGACAGTGTGTTAAGCACGTTGCTGTTGCCATACGTGGTCGTCAAATTTTTCAGTTTTTTATAGTTTTACTATTTGCGTTTCTATTTGCCTGCTCCCTGCTCAGGGGTTTTGCTCCCTGCTCGTCTGCGGCTATGTTGCATAATCTCCTCGACTTCGCTACCTTTTTTTTTTTAAAGACCTTGTCGTCAACTGCCAGCAGTGGGTTACATACTGTTAGGGTGTCCTGCTTAGTCGTGTCGCTACTATTGTTCCTAGAATCATCTTAAAGTGTGTCTCATTCTCCTTCCCTTGAGGACCAGCATTCCCACTCCCGCTCCCTTCTGTGTTCATTACCCTGTACCCTTCCTGCCATTCGTTCGTAAGAGCAGATCGTGTCTATTCTTTGGCATATATTTTCCATCGTTGATACATTCTTACTTTTCCAATGGGAGGCTATATTAATTTTTGCCACGGTGAGGATATTTAGTGCCACTGTTCGGTTTGCGTGGTGCGCTAAATCGGGGGCTATGTGTAGAAGGTATCCTTTTGCATCTTTGGGGATTGTGCAGTGTGTTATGGTGCGTATCAGTGTGCCCACTCTATCCCAGTACTCCCCCAGGGCAGGGCAATCCCAGAATATATGTAGCATCGTACCTCTACTTTCCTCACATCTCCAGCAGGTCGCAGGTGCATCCACGTAGATGCGCGACAGCCTGTGCGGTACCAAGTACCAACGCATCGTTATTTTACAATATGCTTCCCACAGCGACAGGCTGCTCGATGCACGCTTAGTGTTGCGCAGCGCCTCATGCCATTGTGCTAAAGGAATCGAGGTGCCCAGTTCCTCCTCCCATTTGGTCATATAGGAAAGTTTCCCTGCATTAGGGCCTTGGAGAGTAATGCCATAGCATAGTGCTAATGGTTTCGTGCACGTGTGTGATAGTATTTGTTGCGGTTGTAGTGCCCCCTGGGAATTCGCGTCCAGCCCCCTGTTTAATGCCGTGAGGAGGACGCTTTTCACTCTTAGGTATAAGAACATGTCCCTCGTGCTCAATGAGTATTTCTCTTGAAGCGAGGGGAACGGTATGATTTCTGAGCCTTCGCATAGATCTCCTACCCGGGCTATACCTTTGTCAGCCCACGTTTTCAGTGACAGGTCGGTTGATAGAGCCCCCAACGTTTCCACTGGTGCAGATCTAAGTAATGTTACTGTTCCCACTATGTATTTGCCCCAGGCCATCCAGGATCGTATTTGGAAGTCAGTGCAACTTAGCTTGGGTTTAGTTGTTGGCGGGGGATAAGAATGTGTCCACAGAGAGTGGGTCAGGTCATATGGCCGCAGGCAGGCGTTTTCTAATTCTAGCCACAGTGGTTGAGAGCCGGCATTTTTTGATTGCAATAATCGAATACTTTGGGCTAATGTTGTAGCCCTATAATAACCCCTTATGATGGGAAGGCCCAATCCCCCCCTGTCGTAGGGAAGTCCCATGCTATTTTGCGCCACTCGAGGTGGTTTTCTCTTCCAGATGTGCCCGTTTATCGTAGATTGGAACCTGGTTATTAATTTGTTTGGCAGCGCTATGGGGAGTGTGCGGAATAAGTATATGATCAGGGGCAGTACCATCATTTTAAGCGTATTGATACGCCCCAGCCAGGACACCTCAAGGTCAGCCCATTTCTCTAACGTCTCTTTTATCTTATGCAGTACGGGGTAGTGGTTTTCTTTCTGGATTGTTTGGAGGGATTTGGTTAATTTTATTCCTAGGTAGGTCAAGTTATCCCGTCGCCAATCAAACTGATGCTGTTTTACTAGCTCGGATACCTCCTTTTGCGGGAGATTTATGGGAAGCGCCTGGGTTTTGGTGATGTTATTTTTATAGTAAGAAGTTTGACCATATCTCCCTAGGAGTGTCAGTAGCTCCGGGATGGAGGTGTCTGGCTCTGTAAGAAAGAGAAGTATATCATCTGCAAAGAGCGCTAATTTCTTTGTACCGCCTGGTGTATGCAACCCTTTGATATGCTCATTCTGCTTGATCAATCGTATTAATGGTTCTAGGCACAGTATGAATATGAGCGGGGATAATGGGCAGCCTTGGCGTGTGCCATTGAGGATGTCGAAGGGGTCCGAGAGAAAACCTGTATTGAAGACTTTAGCAAAGGGTCGGTGGTAGAGCGACATTATACTACGGACGAACTCGGGGGGGATATTCATGGCCGCTAGGGTACCCTCCATGTATCCCCAGTGCAGGCGGTCAAATGCCTTTTCTGCATCTAAGGCGAGGAGCAGCCCCTTTTGGGAGGACTGGTTGGCCCAGTCTATAATGTTTAGAAATTGTCTGGTGTTATCCCCCACCTGTCTTCCAGGTACAAATCCCGCTTGCTCCGCGGAGATTAGTGTAGACAACAGGGGCCGAAGCCTCGCCGCTACTAGTTTTGCGTACAGTTTTACGTCCGCATTGAGGAGGGAGATCGGCCGTAAATTGGCGCACATCGTGGGTGTTTTGTTGGGTTTGGGTAGGGTAACTATGTATGCTCCCAACATGTCCCGTGGTATGCCGCCTGAGGTTTTTATTGAGTTAAATAGCGTTGTTAGGTAGGGAGTGAGTTGTGGCGCTAGCTTTATGTAGTAGTAATTGGACAGGCCGTCTGGTCCGGGTGCTTTATGCTTAGGAAGTGTGCGTATCGCTAATTCTACTTCTTCCTCAGTGAAAGGTTGTTTGAGTGATTCCGCTTGGGCTGGTGACAGGCGGGGAAGGTTTGCTTGCTCTATGAAATGCTCAATTTCCACCCTGGTGGGTTGATGTGTTCCCGGGTCCCTACCCAGTTGGTACAGGTTTTCATAGTAGTGCGCGAGTTCATTTACTATGTCTTGGGGGTGGTAAAGTTTCGCCCCTAGTGAGGAGGTGAGGTATGGTATTTTGGATTGTATATATTTCTGTTTTAGTTTGTTAGCTAAGCGTTTGCCCGCTTTGTTTCCTGTCATGTAGTAAGTTTGCTTAAGGAAGCGCATGTGTCTCTCAGTTGTTTTTAGCTGTTCTGCTTCTAATTTTGCCCTTAGGGACATTAGTTGTTTATGAGTACGTTTAGTTGGGTTGGCTTTGTGTTGGGTTTCAAGCGTGGAAATTTCCCGCTCCATGCCCAGCTGTGCTTTTTGACGAAGTTTTTTTGTTAGGGAACCAATTTGCACAAGGTGTCCGCGCATGACCGCTTTATGCGCTTCCCATCGGGTCGTCAGTGGTGTCGTGCATTGTTCATGATCTGAGAAGTAGTGGTTTAGATGGGTGGCTAGTGCCTTGAGATGCTTGGGGGTGTCCAATAATGTCTCATTTAGTTTCCATGTGCCTCTACCTCTAGCGCGGTGGGGTGTTTTCATTGTGATTATCATGGGTGCGTGGTCTGACCAGGTGATGGGCCCAATCTGCGCTTTAAGCGCATGTGGTATGGTGCGTTTATCAAAAAGGCACAGGTCTATTCTGGAATATGTCATGTGAGGTTGTGAATAGAATGTGTAATCCCTATCTGTGGGGTATAGATTGCGCCACACGTCATAATAGTCATGGGTGTGTAGTAGGTTGGAAAGGTGGGATCCCAGGGAGATCGATCTGCTCTTTGGTGTTTTATAGTTCGTTCTACACATGTCCATGTGCGGGTCTGGTGAGCAATTAAAGTCTCCACATATCAGTGTGTGGCCCTGCTTGTACCGATCTATTTTCCGGAAGGCCGTGGTCAGGAAGGATTTCTGAGAGTCATTTGGGGCATACAGAGATGCCACCGTTAGCTGGAGACCGTTTAGGGACCCCACTAGTATCAGTAGTCTCCCATCTTTGCCTGTGTATTGTTTGGTGAGGGAGAATGCCCAGTCTCTATAGAAGTATATCGATACTCCCTTGGATTTTGTGTTGGCCATGGCGTGAAATTCCTGGGTATAGTGCTTTATCTGGAATTTGGGTGAATTGCGTTTGCGAAAGTGTGTCTCCTGTAAGCAGACTATTGCCGCTTGTGTTTTTAAAATTTCGCAAGCAGTCATCCTGCGTTTGTGGGGGCTGTTGAGGCCTTTTACATTCAGCGAGAGTAGCTTGAGTGAGTCACCCATTGTCTGTTGTTGGGTTAACGCTAAATAAGTAGCTGCCCTGGAGTTGTTTGATGAAGTAATTGGCATCACTAGTGAACCGATAGGTGAAGGGTTTTAGAGAAGGGTGTAAGGGGGAAAAGAAGTATTTACAGATTTTTAACGCCTCCCTAGGCGTTGTCCTCGACTGAGGTGTGAGCAGGTTATTTTGTCCCCTCATCACGATCAGTCTTGGGGGGGTTGTGTGGTGAGGAGTGGCGAATAGACCCTCTACCTTTCCTGTGTGCCCGCCAGTGCAATCCCACCTTTGGGAGCTGTACTTTTGTGGCTACTTCCTGCATGACTGCACCCTATTGTCCCAATCTCAACCTATCACTCAGTGGAGTGCGTGTTTGGTCGTGCGCTAATGGGGACATTCTTACCCGGGGGCTGCCAGTTTCCAGGGGCAGTGTCCTATATTCGCGGGCGTGGTATACGGTCTGAGTTATACCCTGTCTCTCTAGCATTCTGCCCTCCTCGTATACTATCAACATTTACAGGGTATTGTGATCATAGTCTCTGGAGCCATCCAGCCCGCCCACCCGGCCCTATGGTACATTTAACTGGGCCTTCACGCAAGCTCTGTGACAACATTGGACATGAACAATATTAACCATTTACAGAAAAAAAAGAGGATGTTCCTGTTTCACATAGTTCGTTGAACTTTTAGTCTTCCAATATGGCAGCTAAACAGGCCTTCATCCTCAGATACCACCAACATTTATACTGAGTTATATCATAGTTTCTAGGACTATCCAGCCCCTCTTTTTTGACACAATGGTACTTTTAACAGGGCCTGTGCGCAAAAGCTATAACAGTATTATAACACAGGCTATATTAATCATACCGTAGAAGGATATTTCTGTGGCACCCAGCGCGTTGCTCTGGTCTTTGCCTTTGAGCGGCTAAACGGGCCGTCATTTAACTGGGCCTTCACGCAAGCTCTGTGACAACATTGAACATGAGCAATATTAACCATTTACAGAAAAAAGAGGATGTTCCTGTTTCACATAGTTCGTTGAACTTTTAGTCTTCCAATATGGCGGCTAAACAGGCCTTCATCCTCAGATACCACCAACATTTATACTGAGTTATATCATAGTTTCTAGGACTATCCAGCCCCTCTCTTTTGACACAATGGTACTTTTAACAGGGCCTGTGCGCAAAAGCTATAACAGTATTATAACACAGGCTATATTAATCATACAGTAAAAGGATATTTCTGTGGCACCCAGCGCGTTGCTCTGGTCTTTGCCTTTGAGCGGCTAAACGGGCCGTCAGTTCTTTCGGGTCTTGCTAGGTGAGCCCACCATGTGCCAGTCCTCTTGCAGTCGTCGCTGCGGTGATCCTCTACTCACGTCAGGCTCCTTGTAAGGGAAGAGGCCCCATTCCGCCAGTAATCTCATACCCACTTCGGGTTCCTCTGCTATGTGATTCTTCCCCCCTTTCCACACGATCACCTTCGTGGGGTATCCCCAGCGGTAGGGTATATTGTTATTTCGCAGCGTTTTTGTTACTGTGATGAAGTCCCGTCGGCGGGCCATGGTGAGTGCTGACAGGTCCGCGTACAGTTGAATTGTTCCATAGGGGTCAGGTAATTTGGGAAGTTTTCGAGCCGCGGCTAGCAGAGTCTCCTTTGTTCTATAATAATGAAAGCGCACCACCGTGTCTCTCGGCGTGTCTTGAGCGAGTCTCGGTGGGCGCGGAAGACGGTGGGCCCTGTCCATAAGCCACTCTGATTCCGCAACGTTTGGTGATAGCGCCTTGCAGATTCCCAGCAGGTAGGCCATAAGCGCGTCCCGCGAGACAGATTCTGGGATCCCCCTGAATCGGACGTTGTTCCTGCGGGATCTGTCCTCCATATCAGCCAATTTCCTCTTAATTTGTTGGTGTTCCAGTGTTAGCTGATGCACTGTCTCTGCTAAATCATTTTGTTCTGCGCTGAGTTCGTCGGAGCGGGCCTCAAGGCGGTTGGTGCGCTCACCGATATCATTGATGTCTTTCCTCAGTTCGCTTGTGACTTTTTTGAAGTCATGCTGGAGCGACACTCTGAATTCTTGGAGCATGGTATATAATCTCTTTTCGGTTACGGGCGCATCTGTGTAGTGGCCTGTATCGCCCTCCTGTTCTTCTTGTGGCTCAGCTCCCTGAGAGGCCTGCAGACCCTCCTCGCCGTCTTGCGTAGGCCGCAGTTTATCTTTTTTAGCGCTGCGGACCGGGTCCGTGAGTTTTGTTTGCTTTGCCGGTGCCATCGTGCACAGTGAGGTAGGTAGTGCGTCTGGGGGCACTTTAGCGGCGTTATGCTGCGGTTTGTCACGCTGTTGGGGTCTTTTTTCGCCGGAGCTCCTACTCCATGCGGCCGTCCACCTCGGTAGTTGGCCACGCCCCCCAGCTAACTTTTTAACCCCTGGATGGATTTGGCTGATTTTTGGTTATGTTTATGTTTTAAGTGTGCTGATTCCAAATATGTAATTATGAAGATGGGATGTGTAGTTTTAAAGTTACAGGGTATGGCTAAAAACTGTATTTTTACTGCCTGTGTTTAATTATGTTAATCTCTTCCCAAACGTCATTTCGTTCAAAGTGGAGAGAATGTTAAAAAAATATATTTTTGTTCGGAGTGTGAGAAATGCTTTTCAGCCGCTTCTAATCTTAAGCATCATTTGAGGAGCCATACAGGAGAGAAACCTTATTTGTGGTGTGTTTAGTATTGTTCTGATCAGTTTAATACCTTCCGCGTCTCCTATCAGTGGACGTGTATATGGCAGCCATTTTAGGAACCGTACACCTGGGACCCGAGCAAGGTCACCTCGTTCAACAGGCGACAACATTTGTCCCTGGAAAACTATCCTGGACATTCTGTACAATTTGTATGGATATGGCAGTGATTTCTGTAACAGGGAGATGGAAGAAGATGCTTGGTCGGTCCTCTTAATTCAAATTTGGGGCACTGCGCGGTCAAGCTAATGTGCCACCAGATAGGAGTGGTGTGTTTAGTATTGTTCTGATCAGTTTAATACCTTCCGCGTCTCCTATCAGTGGTCATGTACACGGCATTGATTTTTGTAACAGGGAGATGGAAGAAGAGGCTTGGTCGGTCCTCTTACTGCAAATTTGGGGCACTGCGCGGTCAAGCTAATGTGACACCAGATAGAAGTGGTGTGTTTAGTACTATTTTTATCAGTTTAATACCTTCAGCGTCTCCTATCAGTGGATGTGTACACAGCATTGATTTTTGTAACAGGGAGATGGAAGAAGAGGCTTGGTCGGTCCTCTTACTGCAAATTTGGGGCACTGCGCTGTCAAGCTAATGTGACACCAGATAGGAGTGGAGTGTTTAGTACTATTTTTATCAGTTTAATACCTTCCGCGTCTCCTATAAGTGGTCCTGATACACACTGACACAGAGCAGAATAGGGAATGTTACCCCAACATCGGGTCACTTGGCAGATATGGATTGACACCTGTCCTCAGAGCCCCTGATACACACTGACACAGATCAGAATAGGGAATGTTACCCTAACATAGGGTCACTTGGCAGATATGGATTGACACCTGTCCTAAGGATCCATGATACACACTGA